ATATAATTTATATTTTTCTCTAACATAATAAAATTTTTCTCTAGGTGTATTTTAGAATGTAGTAGGCCTAGTACAATAAATATTAATTTTTTTCATTTTGTTATACGGATTCTTGTGATTCAAACATTATAATATATATAGCTTATAATAATTATATATAATATAAAATTCTCATTTTACAATTTTCTTCCATTTAGAATTAAATTTATTTGCATGAATTAATTTAATAATTAAAAAATGAATAACTATTATTATAGGAGAAATATTTTACTAATAACTGTGTAATAAGAAACATAGAAAATGAAAATTTACCTTGGTACAGTTTTTTAGAATAAAAATCATGCTGATATACATTCACTTAATAAGAATTTTCATGATTTATATTTGCTATATGAAATTATTTATAAATATTTATTCCTTACCTTTTTATGTGTATCTTTGTATCTCTTAATTATTTTATTTATATGGTATCGTTCTTTATAAGTGATTTCTTAAAATTTGACATAATTAAATTTATTACAATTAAGAACAACGTTGAATATCAGAACTAAGTTAAACTATTACTAATTGCAGTATCATAATGGTTTTTCATTTACATACATTAGTCTGCACAACGTTAGATCATATATTATTGTAAATAACAGAAGATAAATATGCATTATATAATTTTACTGCATATCAATTTATTATTTATAGTATAGCATGAATTTTTATTGTGTATTTATTATTATCCTCTATTAAATAATTCAAATTTTTATTATATGTTAATATTATTTATGTCTCAAAATTGTTATACAGATATCTCTGTGGTTTTATTTTCGTATTCACATATTTATACATTATATACACATTTCTTGTTCATCATTTCATATATATTCTTATTAAATATATATTTTTTAAGAAATGGTAATATATTTCTTTTATATTTCTAAAGGTATATTGCACTTCAAAAATGGATTGATTAATTTTAATCATTAATTTAATATAAATTATATATTTAGAAATATATTATTAATATTTATCTTACACGATATATTGTTTTGATACTCTAGTCATATTTTATTTTTATGATCTAACTATATACTTTTATACATAAAGGGGTATTCTATTTTATCTAAGTAATATAAATTTTTTTTTGCACAATAATTCAGATAATTATTGAATGCAATGTAAAATATTTATTAGTATAAATGCTAATTCTGTATTAAAAAATTATACATATGAATAATATTATTATAACATAATATGTATACTAAAATTTTACTTTAATCCTTAATTTCTTCACATACTAATATTTAATTTATATGAACGTTGCATGAAAAACGATGTATAAGAATTTGTCGTTATGAATTCTTATAAAAAATTTGAATTTTTTTCCAGTACATAAATTCAATGTAAGTATTATACATAATTTTTATTGAGACAATAGGAAAAAAACAAAATGTGACTTTTAATCTATTTGGATAACCCTGTAAATACAGAATAATTTTATACGAATTACTTATTTACAGTGATTATTACATTTTACCCTATATATAATATATATTACCAAAATAAAATACATATGCTGTAAATTATATTCGTGGAATAAATGTCTTAAATCTAACTTATTAATTTTAATAACATAAATTCTAATAAAATTATAAGTTTCTCGTATCAATTTTAATATCCCATATATTGTCATTTCAATTAAAAATTGAATTCGTAATATTATTTGGTACAAATATATTTAGATTTGGATTGATGTATTTATAATGTTCATTGTACATAAATATTATTAAAAAATGATAACATTATAAGATAAAATTAATATATATATGAGGGGTACAATTTTATGATAATTTTATATATTATTGTTTATTTTATTATATAAGAATTATGGTTTATATCTAATGTGTGTATACTCTTTTGTATTATGTATTTTATGATATTATTATAATTAATAATGAATAAAAAATTAGTCTGCATGGAATATATTAATTTCACAATTATATTTTACTTAGGATCTATTTATGACAGTAAATATATTACATGGTTGTGCATTATTATTTTATATTAATTTACTTATTATAAGATAGAAATATGAATAATTAAATATAATGTACACACATTAAAAGTTTATTGCCTACAAATTACATAATATGTTTTATATTATTTCATTGTAAATATACATATATGTATATATATATATGCATGAAATTATTTTTATCCTATAAGATATAAAGAATTATTTTTATGATAAATTATCCCCCTTACATTAATTATACAAAAATTGTATATCTATATACAAAATTATCAATTAATTACTATTATTATTAAATTATATTACATAAATTCATTCAAATGAAGAAAGAGTGAAAATAAAATTACTAATCTTATAATATATTGTGATGTTTCTAATAAATACTTATTTATTTATTACTGCTTTTATATGTATTAGCCATAGTAATCTCTTTTGTAGATGTGGTACCTTACTCTATATGCATTTTATCCATATTTTTGCAATTATATCTTATGTATTATTTTATTATTTTGTATTTTTAAATATAATTTCATATAATATAGATATTTTCATCATTATTTAATTATTCAAACATTCAAGTATTTGTTGTTCACTACAATATTATTTTGAATATCATAATGATTGATATGGCGCATAATATCCTATTTATTCTTTTACATTTTCTGCTTCATAAATTTGATATAATTAAATTCCTTATAAATCTACAAACTGAGAAAATTAGTTCGCCCTAAAATTTTTAATGTATATGAATAACTTTATTATATAATGTAAAATAAAATATGTACTCATAAGTATAATATATATCTGTGAAGATAATATTATATATATAGTGTAAATCGCATTTAATCATATAACTTATAATACAAAATAATATTAATAATAATATTATGAATTTTGTTTATGAAGTGTATATATCTAAAGTTATAGTAATTGCAAGTGAAATAATAATAGATAGAATGTTAATTTTGTAAAACAGTAATTCATTATTTAATATATTAAATTTTTTTATAGATTTTATAAAATCAATATGTAGTATTGTGAAACATTCCAATTTAGCAGATAAGGACATTTTAGGAATAAAACAGACGGAGCATCATATTTTTTATATACTTCAATATAACCAGCAATAAAACGATTATAATTATTTTATTAGAGGACACATTTTCAAAATTCTTGAAAATATCATATATTATATATAACTCTGTAATTTCATTAAACATATATATGTAATACCATATTCTATAGTTTATAGTAATTATTACCTTATGTTTACAATAATTATTATATGTATATACAAAAATAAGCGTTATTCAAATATAAGAAAAAATAGGAATAAAATATATAAAATTTAAGTACAAGAAATAAAACTATATAAAAATGAATAGCATTATCGAATTAAAACTTAAAAATTTTCTTTACATAATAATATATTATAGCAGAATAATTATATGTAATAACATATATCATGATATATCCTAAATATGAATAATGTAATATTTCTCATTTTGTGTGCGAAACAAAGGAAAGCGCAAATTTTTTTATAAGAATAAAATTTAAATGTATATTTAGTTAATCATATATCAATTTCTTGTGATAAAAATATGATTATCAATTTTAATATCAATAATACAATGTAAAATTTATATTATTATATAAATAAGGTAATAATATAATTTCGAAATGAGTATAATATTTTAAAGAATATTGTATTATATAACTAAATATAATACATCTTCTTTATTAACATGTATAAATAAAAATGTTTTAATAATAAATATATTTATAAAAATTTTGAACAATTTATTCTTACATTCAAAATTTTTAAGAAAATATCTGTACTCAGAATAGTCATTTTTACCTAATTTTTTTTTTGTTTTTATTACTTTTATTCAATTTAATAAAAAATTTCAATGTTTATCATTTAATACACATGATATTATTTTTTTTACATATTTATATTAATAATAATATATGAATGTTATATTGCATGTATCATTTTAATCTGTTCCTTATATATGTTGTATGATTGTCATGTATTATTACTAATAGGATTATATATAATGTATGAACTCTCATAGAGGATAACATGCAAAAGGATAAAATATAAAACATATATAGTCTTCTATTTTTTTCCTGTATTTAATAAATATGTATATTCTGTTACATGGTTTTTATATATAGTCATATATTTTCAGGTTTTACATATTACCATTTATCTTATTTAACATTTTAGTGTACTAATATGCTATATATTTTTAAATATTTTAAAAAAAATTATATATTTATTATAATTATTAACTGTATGTATATATTCCTACATATTTCATATTTATTTATGCACATAACATATTGTTTCACATTAAAATATATTTTGTAAGTTAAAAGTTTACATTTATACATAGACATTTTTTTATTATTTGCGAGAAATATATGTTATGTTATACTTTTTTCCATGTGGAACTGCATCATCATTTTCAGATTATAAAATTCTGTGTTCGCAAGTTTCATCGTTCTTATTAATTGTCTTCCTTGTCTTTCTTTCAATACGAATGTGTAATTTTTTCCAATATTCTTTAAACTAATAATAGAATGATATCATAATTAATTCTTAATATAATTAATTTATGAATAATGTTTTTTTCTAATGTAATATAAAAATAAGTATGAAGTATGTTTATTTTTAAATTGAATCCTTTTTAATCTTATAAACGTATGAGAAAATTGCTCCTATAATTATATTAACGATTGCTGTTTTTACTTTAAGATTTTTTTTGGTATAGTTATAACAAAATTTATCAAATATTATTCCTATATAAGGTAAAAAATGTTTTTGTAATAGTTCTGTTTTTTTTAGCTCATTGCAATATTTTTCTTATTGAATGGACATGCCACTATCATTTATCATTAAAAATTCTAGGTTGCACTTTTTATTGGATATCAATTTATTTTTTTCTATTTATCATCTAATATTATATAATTAATTAAGAAAATCATTATCCTTGGAATATTGAATTGGGGTTATGAGTTTATTATATTCTTCAATTAAACTTTTAATATTATTAATTATTTTATATTCTTGTGCATTATTTCTAATATAATAAAGTATACCCGTATAATTATCACATATTTTATATAGATTTCCTATTATTATATATATATCTTCATCTATATTTTCAATTTTACAATTATTTTTCATTTTTTTATTTAAAATAGAAATATAATTTTTAGCATAATCATCGGAATAAGCAATCATAGGATCAGTATCAATAATTGGATCTTCTTTGAAATGCGTTTTTATCCAGTAATTAATGTATCTACAATATTTATTGTTATTACTTGAATCATTCGCATAAATATATTCAAAATATCGTTTTATTATGTTAAAATATTGAAATAAAATTTCATAATTATTATTTGTATCTTTTTTGAATTTCAAAAATCCCTCAATATATTTTGTATCAATTGATAATTTAGTACGTTTACTGAGCATATCAAGGTAATATATAAAATAATCATAATTATTACACTAAAAACAAATATATAAATTATAATTAATATAAATATCAATTAAAACAATGAATATGTAGTGATAATGATAAAATGCTAAAATAATTCATGAATATAATAATATATTATACGGTATAACAGAATCATATATAATTTACCGTTGTAATGATCACAACAGATTCCATTATTTGAATAAAAAAAGAGAACTATTTTGATATTAAAATTATTTTACTTATATATTATAAACATCAGAATGAATTAAATTTTGTTGATATCATGTGAATTTCTGTTATAAAATTTTATTATTTTTATCATGTAATATATTTGAATTGTATTTCTTTTATTAATATATATTTATACTAGAAAATTCGCTTATAAGTTTTCAAAAATAAAATACTAATAAGTAGCTACGGAAACTAAAGAATTAATGTATATAGTTTAATCTAATGTATTGTAAACATATAATCAAGAAATTATCATTAATATAAATAGTTTACATATTTATAATTGTTTTACTTATTGAAATAATTTATTTTTTATATATAATGGATATACACTGGATATCGTATAATAGGATAAACATATAAGTTACATTTAATAATTATTATATAATAAATGGTATATAATGTTTTATAATATAGTTAATATTTTATTATTATTTGTACAATTAATTTCATTATCTATATTATGGCCATGAATAATCATAATAAATAATTACTAATTTTTTTTGTGTGTACTGTTCTATAATAAAACCATTTACATAGTTAGATGTTTTTATATTATGAAAGATAATATTTATGTGAAGAAGAAAATAATATAAAACAATTCAATTTTTAAGAAATTTATTATATTATTACAGGAAACACTAATTATTATATAATGTTAAGTATAATTTTATATTAATATGTTATGTATTTTAATAGATATATTAAAATAAATGATTATTCTATATGCTTAATTATATATTTTGTTCAAAACAATATTTTATTTATATGAATGTCTCTGTTTGAAACAAAAGTTACGTATATTATTTTTTTATACAAAAAATTAATGGAAAATAAATTCCCGACCATTTAATATAAAAATAAAACATGTATAAAATCCCAAAATTAAAATCAATTGTTCTTTATGAGATAAAAATGTTATATATTTTCTACTTGTGCAATAATAAAAGATATATAATAATAAAAGCATTTAATATATATAATACAAAATTACTTCAATTAGAATGAGTAAAAATAATTAAACAATATTTAGATTCTAATTTATATGAATAATAAAGTTTATTTAAACATTCTGCTATTGAACATATGTATATATATATATAGACATGTTTGTTTAAATACATTATTAATTGGGGCAATGTTGTTATTAACACAATATATTAACTATAATATTTTATATATTATATTTTACGCAAATATCAGTAATATATAAGTTTATTTATTATTTCAGTAATATATTAATTTAATGCATTTGTGTGCTAATTGATAATTTATTCTTCGTATTCTTAAGTATTATATGATATGCCTTTAAAAAAATAATTAATTTTATAACATTAGAATAAACATAACTTTTGAACTATAAAATGTATAAGAGTTCTATTATTAATTATAAATTCAGAATATGTAGATATTTATATTCATAGTTAAAAAATTTTTGTTTTTATGTAATAACACATTTATTATAATATAATATTACCTTTTTATATTAATAAATATTTTATCTCAATAATTATTTTCCATTTATTATATTATATATATGACTAATTGACAAATAATGGATTTGTTATGAAACGTAAAATGTGCTTAATATAATTATATATTGCTAATGCGCAGTCTGGACATTATGTATATAAATTATGATTATTTTAAATAATAATTAAATATTAAATAATAAGATTTTATTTTATCATTAATATATATAGAGAGTTGAAAATTTCCTTAAAATAATTAATTAATTTTAATTTTTATGCTTTTACTTAATTATGATATTATATAAAATGTATTAGAACTACCTACTATTGGAAATATTTCAGAGGAAATAAATATAATGCAAGCAATATATATTTGATTTTGTTATGCATTAACAACTTATATCATAAGAACTGATATTTTCACTGGTTTACGTCGAATAAAAGGTTATATTATATAAATACATCATTTTATAACTTATATGAAATATTCACATTGTTTTAACTATACATAAAAATAATAATTATTCCACATGATAAAAATCAGGAACAATGTTTAATACATACAGTCTTTTTAACATTACAATGAATTTTTAATGAATATCAATTCCTTTATGTATTTAAATATTACATATAATTTTAAAAAGATATATTAGGAATATTTATTTTATATGGCTAATAGTAAATAAAATTTATTAATTATCATGTTTTTTATTCTAAGATATTGTGTTTATAATATTTATATTATAAAGTAAAACACTTTGTAATCTCATTTTATGAGATTATGTGCTCTGTTGATGAATATATATATAATAATAATTATGCATTAATCTTATATTTCATGAATATTAAGCATTCATGAATATGATACATTTAATTTCAAATAATGTGTCTCTTCATATATTAATATATAATGTTAACATAAAATATGAAATGATATATAAAAATATATCTATGCTGCTTATTATTCAAAGGAAATTGAAAATACAAATTTGTGTAAAATTAAAAACAAGATACCTTTTGTGTCGTTTTTTATGAAACTTAAATATCCTAATAAAAATAATACGAATAATATAAATGAAGAAAATTATGTTATATAATATTAAAGAGTACATATAAAAAATATATAAATATTGATGATATAAAAATTATTTAAGATTTTGTTTTTTTTATTTTTATCTTTAATAATAATTATATATATAATCCTGTCTTAGCTATTATAAATGTATATATTTCATATTATATGAAATAATAAGTTAAACAAGCAGCCTCATTTGTATGTACGATTATGATATATTAATGTTTATAAAAATATAAATATTAATAAATGAATATAAAATGCTATACTCTATAAAAAAAAAGTGCTTTTTATTTATTTTCATAGGATTACAGCATAAATGCATGAATATTAATAATATGTACTGGTAATTATTAGATATTTATAATAAATCATTGATGCTTATAAAGTATATTTAGAGACAAGGAAAATATATTTTTAAATAACTAACGTTATAAATATTATTATAAAAGAAATTAATATATTTTTAGATACGTAATTATACATTTTAGTATTACCAAATAATTATATGTTCAGAAAAAAATAATGTTTTTTTATTATAAATTGGCATATAATACATTTGAAATTAAAGAACATCTACATATATTTTATAAAACATAACAATATAATAATATTTTGTGTGAAAAATATTAGAATATAATTTTATATATTTTTTTTTCTAGATTAAATGTTGATATAAATTTTCTATGGTATATAATATATTCCTATATTACTAACATGGGTAATAATAGCAAACACATATGTTATTCAATTAGACATATATTTTAAACATGAAATAATAAAACGTTCCTTAGAAAAAAGTATATATTTTTATAAATTATTACAGATTATCTTTGACAAATATATTATTTTCACTTTATATTTATTTTAATGTAGCAATATATAGATATGTATAAGCTATTTAAGCATTATATAAATAATGTTATATGTAGAATTATATTAATTAATTGAACTATTGAGAGAAAGGATTATTTATTTTTATAATGTTTGTGATCCTTTATGATTCAAATTATGTTTAAAAACTTTCCTTGCTGATGTATACTTTATCACATTTAAATTATGTATGATGTATATATATATATAAATGAATATTCAAAAGAATATAAAATATATTTCACCTAATTTATTGCAAATATTTTCTGATATTATAGCAAATAAAATCTTGATACAGTAAATATAAAACATAAATTTATTTATTTATAGAAATATTCTCTGTTATGTAATGATTTGTATTAGTACACATAATTATATATGTCTTAAAAAAATATTTAAGTGTTATTATATGATTATATATATATACTATATATACTTTTATTATTTAAAAAATTATATAAATCTAGCGATACATACATAATTTATACAAGTATTCCATAATATAATATGAACAAAATAATTATAGAAAAAATATATATGTACTTAAAAAATAGAAGACAGCTTTTGTATCTTAAATAATATCAATAGTTCTGAATTATTTTAATTGTTCTTATCAATATACATGTTTCATCATATAAATATAATTTTATAAAGTTATGTATATGTTCCTATGAAATGTTAATTTAAATACATGAATACTACTAATGTATTTAATAAAAATCACATATAATTACTATAATATTATTTCAAAAATATGAATAATTATTCTTTATTTTTTTTTTTATTGATAAGTGATATTGATGAAAAGATATAAATTACAGGTAGGTAATTCAATTATAATAATAAATATACATAAATACTGTAAAAAAAAAAAGAATTAATAATAGAAGAATAAAAATAATTCCAGTATTCATATTTTGTTAAGTATTTTGTACTATTCAATATTATGAATACATTAGACAAATATTAATGCTTTCATTATATATAACTGTAATTATTATAATATATACTAAATGTAAAAAAATAAAAATAATACATATTTATGAGTTCATGAAAAAAAATTATACTGTAAAATTCTAGAAGAAATTAGAATTAATATAATTTGTTCTTAAATAATAGAATTAAATTATACGTTGTAGTTCATTATATATATATATATATATTTCTCAGATGTATTCTTCTAATAATTGAACAAAAGGTCTTCTTTGAAGGAACATAATATAAATATTATCAATGGCTTGAAGAAATCAATAAACGAATATACATGTGAATAAATAATAAATTATACATTTTATTAATACTATGACATAAAAATATAGAATTTATATGATTAATCATAATTATATTTTTATAATCATAGTATGTACTACAATATCAGTGGTTGTAAATCTAACTATGTAATGAACATTATAAAAAATATTCTCTCTGACCAAAAGATTAATCACATATTTCATGCTATTTTAAAAGATATAAATATACACAAAAATTAGAAGAAATTGAAGATAAAATAATAATATAAGAAAAAATACTTATTCTAACTT